TGGTCTGAAGAATGCAGGGGCTACATATCAACGCCTAGTCGACCAAATGTTCAAGGGCCAGATCGGACGAAACATGGAGGTGTACGTTGATGACATGCTGGTAAAGAGCAGACGAGCGGTCGACCACGTTGGGGACCTGAGAGAAACTTTCACCACCCTGCGGGAGTACGGTATGAAGCTGAATCCAGCTAAATGCAAATTCGGGGTGAAGACGGGCCGATTTCTAGGATATGTTGTTACGGAGAAGGGAATCGAGGTGAACGCAGCCAAGGTGCAGGCGGTCTTGGAGATGAATCCCCCCAGAAACCGTCGTGAGGCCCAAGTATTAGCAGGTCGATTGGCAGGACTCAGTCGATTCATAGCCCAAGCGGCTGAGAAGGGGTTCCCGTTCTTCAAGGCTTTGAAGAAAGGGGTTAAGTTCGAATGGACGATGGCTGCGCAGGAGGCGTTCGAGCGACTCAAAGAGTTCTTAGCAGAATTACCCCTCTTATCGAAGCCAGAACCGGGGGATGAGTTGGTGTTATATTTGTCCGTGGGGCGCGTGGCGATCAACTCGGTACTTTTAAAGGAGGAAGATCGACAGCAGAGGCCCGTGTATTACACGAGCCGACTGCTGCAAGGGGCAGAAACCCGTTATTCGGACATAGAGAAGGTGGCACTGGCGTTGATTACCACGATCCGAAAGCTAAGACCATATTTCTTGAACCACAAGGTCGTTGTCCGCACTAACATGCCGTTGGGAGATACGCTGGGTCGACCCAATGTGTCGGGCCGACTCACCAAATGGGCGGTAGAACTTGGCGAGTACGATATAGTGTTCGAGCCCCGAAGAGCCATAAAAGCTCAGGCCTTAGCAGATTTCATTCGAGAACTAACCACCGACGGAGAGCCAGGGCTGTGGAAAACGCACGTAGATGGTAGCTCGGCCATGGGTGGAGCAGGTGTTGGGGTGGTCATAATTACGCAAGAGGGTGACCGCCTTGAGTACGCAGTGAAGCTAAACTTTCACGCCTCTAATAATGAGGCCGAGTATGAGGCGCTGATGAAGGGTATCCAGTTCACCCTAGCAGCGGGAGGCCAACAGGTCCAATTGCATTCGGACTCGCAGCTCGTAGTGGGGCAAGTCAAGGGCGAATTCGAAGTAAAAGAAGATCGAATGAGAAGGTATGTGGATAAGGTGCACGAGTTGCTCAAAAGCTTCACCAAATGGGAGATCATCCAAATACCACGAAGCGAGAACAATCGAGCAGACTTGCTCGCCAAGATGGCCAATTCACTGGCGGAATGTGGTTCCAGGTCGATAACCCTGCTACAGATGGAGCAGAGCTCAATAGACCAAGTAATGGCGATAGAAGAAAGGGTCGATTGGAGGGCCGAGATCAGAAATTGGTTAGCCCGAGGAGAAAAACCAGAAGATAGGAATGCTGCAGAAAAGCTAATGAGGAGAGCCTCGAAATTCTTTTTGGAGGGAGACAACCTATACAAGAAGACATATGAGGGACCACACCTAAAATGTGTGTCGATTGAAGAAGGGGATTACGTCCTGCGGGAGATCCACGAAGGGTGCTGCGGCAGCCACATAAAGTCGCGGGCGCTCGTTGGAAAAGCATTACGGGCGGGTTACTTCTGGCCTACCATGCGCGCCGACGCGCTACAGATGGTAACAGCTTGTCGGTCTTGCCAGATGTATGATGTCGCCACACACAGACCCGCAGAGGAGATGATGCCCATGATGACCCCTATCCCCTTCGCGCAATGGGGGATTGACATCGTGGGGCCGTTACCACAGGGAACGGGGCAACGCAAATGGCTGCTGGTCGCTATAGATTATTTCACCAAGTGGGTCGAAGCAGACGCGTTGACCACCATAACCGAGAAGAGGGTGATCGACTTCTTATTTACAAATATTTGCTGTCGATATGGTATACCAAGGACCTTGATATCGGATAACGGCACACAGTTCAACGGGTCGAAGATTAAATCATGGTGCGAGGAGATGAGGATAAAACAAAAATTCGTGGCAGTAGCGCATCCGCAAGCCAATGGGCAAGTAGAAGTCGCAAATCGAATCATCGTACAAGGACTCAAAAAGAGACTCGAAAGGGCGTCGGGCGCATGGGTGGATGAGCTAGATTCGGTGCTATGGTCGTATAGAACAACCTCTCAGAGCTCGACCGGGGAGACACCATTCAGCTTGGTCTATGGGATGGACGCTGTCATACCCGTCGAAGTGGGGGCTGGCTCGCGAAGGGTCGACACATATGATGAGGGCATTAACAATGAGCTTCAGAGAGAGGCCTTGGCAACGATTGACGAATTGCGCGATGCGGCGGCCCTAAGGGTGGCCTTATACAAACAGCGAATGAAGATGGCCTATGACAAGAAGGTTCGACCAAGGGGATTTCAAGTGGGCGACTTGGTCTGGCGAAGGGCGGATGCGTTGAAGAAAGTCGGAAAAATGGAACCAGTGTGGGAGGGGCCGTTTAAGGTTCTCAAAGTTTTGAAGGGAGGAGCGTATGAGCTTGAAGACAAGTACGGCAGGGCGCTGCCTAGGGCGTGGAACGTTATTCACCTTAAGAAGTATTTTGTTTAAGTAAAGCTAGGAAGAAATAGTGGGTGTATTTAACTTTTGTTGCCTTTTGTTGACACCGTAGTACTTGTTCCGGTGAATATCGTGTAGCCTTAAGGGCGTTTTGATGTACGACAACACTTGTGATGATGTGCTTAATGAAAGGTCGTGTTTTGTTGAAAACAATGATATGTCACAACCTACAGGGCCGCGAAGGCAGGTCGTCTGGGGTGAACAGGTTTAAAGCCATGCGGGTCGATCAGAAGCCTTAGGGCCAGGTCACCCGGGGCAAATATGCTCAAGGCCACGCGGGTCGATCAAAAGCCTTAGGGCTAGGTCGCCCGGGGCGAGTATGTTCAAGGCCATGCGGGTCGATCAGAAGCCTTAGGGCCAGGTCACCCGGGGCAAATATATGTTAAAGGCCACGCGGGTCGATCAGAAGCCTTAGGGCTAGGTCACCCGGGGCGAATATGTTCAAGGCCATGCGGGTTGATCAGAAGCCTTAGGGCTAGGTCACCCGGGGCAAATATGCTCAAGGCCACGCGGGTCGATCAGAAGCCTTAGGGCTAGGTCGCCCGGGGCGAATATGTTCAAGGCCATGCGGGTTGATCAGAAGCCTTAGGGCTAGGTCACCCGGGGCAAATATGTTCAAGGCCACGCGGGTCGATCAGAAGCCTTAGGGCTAGGTCACCCGGGGCGAATATGTTAAAGGCCGCATGGGTCGATCAGAAGCCTTAGGGCTAGGTCACCCGGGGCGAATATGTTAAAGGCCGCATGGGTCGATCAGAAGCCTTAGGGCTAGGTCACTCGGGGCGAATATGTTAAAGGCCGCATGGGTCGATCAGAAGCCTTAGGGCTAGGTCACTCAGGGCGAATATGTTAAAGGCCGCACGGTTCGATCAGAAGCCTCGAGGCTAGATCGTCCGGGGCGAATATGTTCAAACCCATGGGCCAATCAAAAGCCCTTGGGGCCAGATGGGCCGGGGCGATCATTTTTAAGATGACCTGCTCGGCCTTAAGATCAAAGAGTCGACGCACCCGATTCAAGACATGATAGATGAGCAATATAGAGCGAAAAGCAAGCACACATAATCGAAAGATAATACAAAATATCCAGAGTACAATATCAGAGTACATGAAACGTCGCTAAAACAAGTGCGAATATTACAAAACGCGAGCAAAAGGTCATACGGGGTCGTAAAATACAAAGAACAACATCAGTCTCGAAATGATCAACATCAAAAGACAACCAAAGCTAGACTACCCATCGAGGAGTGGCTCGGCAGCGCCAATGGTCGGGTCCGCACCGGAACCGACGGCAAGAGCAGCCCCGGAGGAGTCAAGCATCTCAGCAGCCGCAATCGGGTCAGGCAGTGTAGAAGACTCGGGAGGCACCTGGGACTGCATGGGGTGGGTAGAATCGACATCATCTCCCAAGTCCTCCTCCACCTCGGCCAGCTCAGAAGGGGTCGGAGTAAGGGGAGGAGGCGAAGGAGGGGGAGGGAAAGAGGGCGGTAAATCCACATGACCAGCGAGGCCCGCGGCCTTCACCGCGGCGTCGAGAGCTAAATCCCACCAAGGGTGATGAAAAGGCAGGGTGCCATCTCCCTTGAACCCCCTGGGCCAAGGAAGGTCCTCCTTCAATGCCGAGACATCGAACGCCCCCTGGAAATTCGGGGCGGAAGCCTGCGCCTGGGCACGCGCGACGGCAATATTCAAATACTGCCGGGTCGCGGGAACGAGCCGATGAAGATAAGGGACCGAGTTGCTATACAGGCTGATGATCTCGTCCCGATAGGCAATCAGAAAGCGTCGACCCTCCTCGGAGCCGAAGAAACCCCTAAGTCCGGCCTGGCGAGAAGATTCGGCCGAGGCACGACGACGGGCTTCGGCCTCCTCCACTTGCCTCTTCATCGCGGCAAGCTCCTTCTGGAGCTCCTCGTGCTTCGCCTGGTAAGCCTTCTCGCGCTCGGCCGAGTCCTCTTGGGCCTTTTCAAGGGCCGTAATCTTCCGCTCAGCAACCCCCAACTTGCGCCCCGCATCCTCTTTGCCCTTACGGGCCTCGACCAGCTGGCCCTTCAATACCCCAATGGTAGAGTGCGCCTTGTCAAGCTGCCGCTCGACTTGTTTAGCTTCCATACGGTTCGCCGCAGCTGTCCCGTTTACCTCCTCGAGAAGTAGAGGACTCACAGCGCCAAGGAACTAACAAAAAAGGGGTAACACCATCATAAGAAAAAGAGAAAAACACTGAAAATTGACCCAAAATTATATATTCGGAAAGCGAAGTTATACCTGAAGGAGTCGATGCACCGCCACCTCAGCTCGATCCTGCGGTCTCCCCTCGAAGCGCCGATTCTCAGAATCGGGCATGACCGAGTGCAAATATCTAGCGAGATGAACGGGATT